ATCTGTGCCATTACGGCACTGATGGGCATGTCTTGCCACTCTTGTGGTCGTAGCTCACATGGTTGTAGCTGTGTTAATACTGTGGATGAACCCCTAACCAACAGCCTACATGACAACTGTCTAATACCATGAAAAGTAGCCAGGTGGGAGGAAGCTCCCCGGCCAGGACCAATGTAATTTCACCGAATCCCATGATCAAAGCGTGGTCGTACCATCAAGTCCTGGTCGGTAACAAGAGCACCATGATCAAAGCGTGGTTGTACCATCAAGTCCTGGTCGGTAACAAGAGCACCATGATCAAAGCGTGGTCGTACCATCAAGTCCTGGTCGGTAACAAGAGCAATGGCAATAGCCTTGGGACAGCCTTGATCACACCTGGAGAGGGTGCTCACACCTAGAACTGGGTATTTCATTTTGGTGACTTGTGCTCTCGAAGGATCATTAATCCCTGTATAAGATTTGAATGGGAATGGCCCCCTTTCGCTCATATACTGGAACACTTTGTGGTCTCTAGCTTAATTATTTTAAGGACTAGAAGGTGTGACCTTGTTGAGAAAGTTGTGTCACTGGGCGTGGACTCTCAGGTTTCAAAAGACATGTGGTATTCTATTCTCTGTCTCTCTCATGAGCTCTGAGCTAATGTGTCTACCTGTCTGCTGCCATGAAGGTCATGGACTCACCTTCTGACACTGTAAGCCCCAAATAAACTTTCCTAAATGTTTCCTTGACCATGGTGTCATAGGAAAAGGAATGAGAGGTAGCTTCAGCTCTTTTATACCATTTTCTGTGTCTTTTACAAACATCCTTAAGTGTTAGCTAACCCTCCCCAGACACCCAATTGTTAAGATATGTCTAAAGCTTGCTCATGGACGCCCCAATATGATGGTTAATATTTAACTGCAATTTGACAAGAACTAGAATCACTTAGGAGGCAAGATTCCGGGCAAGTTCCTGCTGCCATGGCAGATTGTACCCTCAAACTACTAGCTGCACACACCCTTCCTTTCTTCTTTCAATTGCGTTTGTTAGTGTATATTATCATGGCACAGGGTAAGTAAGTACTACACCCAATACCAGGATCCCATTCCAAATTGGGCTCAGTCACATGCTAATAATTGCCAATGGAATATCCGGTTCCTAACCAGAGGACTTGTAAGCATACTGGTCCCATGACGAGTTTTCCTTGTTTTAAGAATTAAAGAGTTCTTTATTCTCTTTATCTTCATGTAACCTAGGCTGGCTTGAAACTCTGGGTGATGGGATTACAAGTGTGCAAGACACACCGAGTTTTATGTGGAACTGGAAATTGTACCATTGGCTTCTTGCATGTGAAATTAAGCCCTCTACCAACTGCCAATCGACGACTAAGCCTAGGATAAAATATATCAACCACAGTATCCTTACCTGTGTCTGTAACATCTCCATGGACACGTGCAAAGGACAGTTCTTAGTGAAGGGTCTTCTATATCCTGCTAATTGCCATGTCTCAGGTCACACCAAGATCCGTAAACACATCTCAGCCTAGTACTGCCTGAATAGGCAAAACACCCAACTAACAAACCCTAATCTTCATAGACATGTACTTTTCTTGGCAACTATGAGCACAACTCATTCAGAGCATTTTACAGAGCATATGGAGGGTGAGCGTGTAGAAGGGCTTAGATCTTCCTTCCCAGTAGCTCAGCTGTGTCAGCTTCCCCCCAACCTGAGTGACCATGGATAACTTGGAGGAAACAAGCTCCACATGTGACCTGAGTGATGTCTGTAGCTTCAAGTTTTATCCATCTCTGTGATCCAAAAAATATTAACTCTATCCTTTTGAGTACTGGTTCCTTTGACACCAAGTAGCTTTAAAGAAAAGCACTCTGAGGAGTGAACATAAGAAAGCTAAATGAACTCTTACTGGGATCAAATCTGAGACGGCAGGAAGGCTCTGGGAATAGCGGCACATTAAAAGGATCTCCATAGCACCTTCCTCTTGAGCTAAACACCCTCAGAGCTTCTGTGACTTGACTTGGGAAGTACCTATGCACAGCCCTATGGTGTATGGCCTGCAAACTATATAGAAAACACCCCACTAGGCTAGTATCTACAGTAACTTCACACCATGCATCAAGGCAAGCTAAACTCACTTAACCTGCCTGCTTGCCAGCCATGGCTGAATTTGCAGACACACCCCCTTTACTGGCTACTGCATCCCTGACTAGAGTCAAAATATCTGGTGTGTCAAGATCTGTCTCTTACCTGGGCACCATCACTTGTGTACTATACCAAGAATGCATTGGCTAAGAGTTCAAAATGAGGAAATCAGACTCCAGTCACACCAGACATTAACTAAATTTCCCACCAGCACTAATGGTATAAGAAAAGGGAAATGTTAGGTTTCCAGCATGAAAGTATATGAATTATTTCATCCAACATGCTCAGTACTGTGCAAAGATGGTTTTGAGGAACAGAAATGGCCTTATTCCTGTCAACATTGAGGTGCAGAAGATACATAAGTGTTGCCTGGCGTTTATACCATGTAATAAAGGCCAGAAAGGCATGAATAACAGACTTGCCGAGTTATGATTCAATAACTTATTTATGGAAGCCCAATGTCGCAAACACAGAACAGACTAAGTCTCAACACACACAGTTCATACTACATATGAAACCAACTCAGGAATGCATCATAAACAGAGTCAAAAAAAGAAGTCAAGGAGAAAAACTTAAGACACAAAAATCTGTGCCACAGGTTGAGCAAAGCGTGTAGCCAAAGCAGACTTTTAAAGAACCAGACTTCATCAAGTAACTCCCCCTGTGAAAGACAGCATTAAGCATGCCTTAATTATACATTGGGAATGAAGTGTATGACTCTCCAACCCTTTTGTGTATGTGGAGTAGTTCCTGTAAATGTGTGCATGAAGACCAGACATTGATGTCGGAGGTCTTCCTCTACTGCCACCCCACTTTTTCTTTGAGACAGCATCTCTCACTGAATCCGGAACTCACCAATTCTGCTAGGTTGGCTGGCCAGCAAGCACTAGGAATCTTACCTCGGCCTCCCCAGCGCCAAGACTACAGGTGCTCGCTGCCACACCTGAGCCTTTCACGTGGGTGTGGGGGTTCCTAACATGTCCTTATGTTTGTGCAATAGGCACTTCAATGGCTGAGCCATCTCATCAGCACTGACGACTTAAATTTAGAAACAGAAGAGATTTCAGTATTTTCCAAAAGATGAGCTATCATGAGTCACATGACAGATGTATATCTCAAACCCCAGTGACAGCTCAGCAGAAATGCCAAGATAAATGACAACTGTCAGAGAATAGAGCAGCTGGACCCTCACAGACTGGTGACTCCAACGGAAAGTGATACAGGTACCGTGAAACAAGCTAGTAGGATTTTTGTTAAAAAACAATGTATAAGCCAATGATCACTTTGTTGGGTATTTAGTCAAGTGAAACCAGTTATACTCCTATAAAAATGTTTATGTAAATGTTTATAGCCGCTTTAGTAATCTCTCACATGTGGAAACAACCCCAAAGTTCCTCACGGAGAATAAACTATAAACTCTTGTACAGCCACACTCTGGAACGACTATTGTAACAAAAGCTGCTAACAGCTGTAACATCATACATGAGTCTTGACTGCATCATCTGATGTCAAAGAAGCCAGGCTCCAGACCACACATATACTGTATGACCCCATTTGTGATACCCTCAAAAAAGCAAAGCCACAGCAATGGAAAAGAGATTGTGAGTTACTAAGGCCTGGAAAGGGTACAAGGTACAGGGATGAGAAACTCCTTCTATGAATTAACCATGGTAATGCTTTAACAAGTCAGTTCTAGTTTTCAGAGGTAGATGGCTTCCTAGGTAAGGATGTATTTCTCAAAATCTGGAGAACTACATACCTAAAAAGGAGTATGAATTGTATCTTCAGAAAGAAACAAAACCCACCGAGTGGGCTACCATTCACAAGTATATACACAGAAACTGTACAGAAATGACTTTGAACTTGGGAGGCAGAAGCAGGTGGATTTCTGAGTTTGAGGCCAGCCTAGTCTACAGAGTGAGTTCCAGGACAGCCAGAGATACAGAGAAACCCTGTCTCGAAAAAACAAACAAACAAACAAAGGAAGAAAGGAAAGAAAGGAAAAGAAAGGAAAGGAAAGGAAAGGAAAGGAAAGGAAAGGAAAGGAAAGGA